CCTCTGTGTTGTGTTATGATTTCTATAAATGTATGGGTTCACATTATTTTTTATAAATGTATGGGTTCACATTATATAGGCATTCTGGGGTGCTTGGTGGGTGGTGGGGAAGACTGGACTGGGGTGGTTTTGGTGTTGGAGTTTAGGATGATGGGTGCATGGAGATGTGCTGGGTATCCAAGTGTAAATGTGTGTATTAGTATGTAATTGGATGTGACTGTCTCTGGATGTGAATATATAATTTAAAAATTACCATTAGAATAATATTGGATTACCTTATGTATTATTTTGTATGTGTATTTTTAGTATGTTGTRTTTTTCATCACAAACTGATAAGACTCTGAAAACCAGATGAAATGGTGAATAGGCRTAGGATTAAATAAGTTATACTTCTTCCTACCCCTTTCCAGATATGTTAACAAGATTTATGTGCTTTATGTGAGTGTATGTATTTGGGTAGGTGTACACAGATAGGTGTATATTTATTTTATGGGTTTATTTATTTGTGTATAATAAGTCTAAGTGGTTTCATTTTTTGTAGATATGTGAAAGGGTATATTGAGATATATAGATTCAGACTATGCTTTATGWAATGAATTTGACATGTCTGGAATAAAATCATAAAGGGAATCCGATAGATGGCCAGATTTCAGACTCAGAAGGAACAATTCTGTCTTGACCCTGGAACAATAGACCAGGGGTCAGATTGATAAAAGATTGCGTGGMAACCATACTAAAAGTGAACGTACGGCCAAAAGGCAAAAAAGACGTACGCCAAAAAAATTCAAATTTGTAAAACCATGCGTATGCATGTTTCTGTGCACCTTCCCTTTATAGATCACAGCTTCACCTCAGAGTTTGCGCACAAGGTCCCGCCTCAGGTTCTACTCTCTACATGCCAACATTCAACCATAAACAGTCAATGYAAARYACCTCATGAATGTTGAGATGTATTTAAATCAGTCAGCTGATCAATGTCAAAAAAAGCGATTGGCTTAGACTCACGCTCCGTCGTGCRTCTGGAGGATGACAGGTGCTGACTGACAGCTGCTTACGTGAACAGAATGTCTGTAATTGACACAGATTTTCCCTCATTTTGCAGGTTTACAGATGTTTAGAGTAATCTAATGATTTTTATCAAACACTCTGCTTCAAATTAATTTTCTCTCAGAGCCTGCAGGACGATAGCCTGGCCCTTGCCTGGCCCTAAGAAAAAAAGATTGGGCCTCATGCAAGAACATGTTCGTATTCTTATCCTAAATTTCTCTTACTTTTGTTCGTACAAAAGGGTTCGTACGAACATGTCACGTCAGATTCAACAAACTCTTCTATCTTCAGGAAAAGTGTGTAAATGAGCTGCGTAAATTCCACCTGTTCGTATCCAGCTGCTCGTGCACGTGAGAGGAGATTAGCATAATTACCACCCCAAAAACACCATATAAGGCTATGTTTCCTGCCTCAGATATCAGGAAGTGTTCATTCATGAAAATGACAGTGAAAAGTAAAAAGAAGAACTTTACAAGTTCAGAGATTGAAGTCCGTCTGTCAGAGATCCAGAAAAGAAAATCTGTCATTTTAGCAGGTCAGCTGTGGAATAAAATGAGCTGCTAAAAGTATAAACAATTGTGTTAAATCATTTTCATTTGTTCAGAAGCCACACTGTTGTGCCCCCAACCCCACCCCCACCCCGCGTGGTTGCAAGTGGTCTCAGATGCGGGTCTGAAATAAGCATTTTAAAATGTTTTCAAAATAAGTCAGGCACTTTGGAGAAAACCCAGGACTCGATGGAGGGATTACTGTATGTATCCCCTCTGGCCTGGGAACGTCTCAGAGTCCCCTAGGACATGAAGGGTGTCGCTGGGGAGAGCGGAGTCTCTCTGCTGCTGCTTCCGCACCCGATCCCGGATAAGCGGCAGAAAACAGACGGACGGACAATTTAAATTGTTATTCTAAATTATTACATTTAAAATTATAACTCTAATTCCAACAGAATAGCCTATTGTCAAGGTAATCATAGAGTGTGATTTATTTTCAACTCAAAATATCTTCAAACTAACGAAATATAAAGTTATTAGTGAAGAAAATCCATCGGATAACAGCAGACTGACTGCTGGTAAAATATACAACAGGTCTGGACCACTCGTGAATTTTGTTCATATCTGAAAAAATCTTAGAATACGAAAACATTGGTGAATGCCACAAATTCTCCTAAATCACTCGTACGCACAACTTAAGAACAAATCTGTGCGTACGAACGGTTCTTGCATGAGGCCCAATCGATCTATTAGTTTCATTTCATAAGATATGGTTTCTTGAGCCATTGTAGTATTAACAAACAAACCTTGTGTCATTAATAACAACCATCTAAAGCTTAAAACAACCTCAGTACMTCAAAAAATCACATCACAAACATTCATGAAATAATGAAATGCCTAAAAACRGACATTGTACAGTTTCTAGGCATGTCATGCTTGCGTCATTCTGACACAAAATGCAACTGAGATATTTTTAGACCCAGTCTTCACAGTGTCACATACATCACATACACTGAATTGGTTAAAAGTGCAGGATGAGACCCTTCTGGAATTTTTTTTTCTGGAATTAAAGAGAAAGAGAAAACAAGATACAGCATATCTCTGCAGTCTCGTCCGTTTTAACGGCATCTGTGCTTCAACGTAAAATAAAAGAAAATGTCATTGATATTCTTATTTTAACTGATTTTATCCATACCGTTGCACTGTGTTCCTATTTGGCTTGCTGATAGTGTTCACCCTCTGAAAACCAGCTCTTGAAGTGGCCTGTCACAAAGCATGTCAGCCTGTAAAAAGGAGTATGCTGCGTTGGAAACCAGTCACCCAGGGGCAAGCCAGGTAAGACTCACTGCAGTCACAGCAGATTTCATCTCCTCTAGTGGCTAGTCATCATAGCTCCACTCTGCCACAACGGGGAAAAACTGCCTGTGGATCCCTATTTCTCTAAAACACACCTGACAAAGGAAAGCCGAGCCAAATAGATTCCGTATGCGGCTATGGGGGAACTGCCTCGACCCCCTCCTTTTCTCCTTTCCCCTTTTCTTTCATCTCCTTTTCTTATACTTGACAGTTTTTTATGCACCATGTCTGGTTTGCTTTCCAATGTCAGCCACCACCTGGACGACCTGAGAGATTGCGGTAAGTTGCAAGGCCTCCTGTCTTGGCAGGAAGGAAGTGATGAGGCAGGCTTGCTTTAATTATGTTAATTAATTCATCAGAAGCTTTTGAGCAGAGCTCTGGTAATCTCTTTGGACAGGGGGAACATATTCTGGGAAAACTATATCTCATTAAATGCCATTGCACTGTTCAATGTCATCACTAATTGCCATTTGCATTAATGAAGATATGAGTTTGGCATGTCCACAACACTGTGAGCTTTTTCCAACAGGATATCAACCTTCAACACATGACTGGCACTAATCAGACTGTAAATGTTGAAAGATATGGCACTGCATAAAGCAGAAAAGATGGTGGGTAATTATTTTATACTGACGAGCTCTGAACAATTAACTTTGCCCTTCATCAAAAGGAACAAACATTCAACAAAGAGTCATTATTTCAAGGTATAAAGATTTCAAGTGAACATTTACTGGTGTCAGACGTGCCCTTGGTGAACACAAACCCACTCATTACTTAATTATTTCAGGTCTCAGGATTCAAATATAGGTATGCAAATTCAATTATGGGAGGGTAATGATTAAAAAGGTTCTCCCAGGACTATGGAAATACGAAATTAAAGAGATGAAAAATATTAAGACTTCAATAATAAGGACTTTTTGTGAAAAATGTTTAAATAGTATTGTTCCAGTGGTTTAAAACACACATATTTGATGTAAAAAGGTAAAAATCCAGATTATACAACTGAGCTGTCTTTTACTGAGGATTTAATACAGCTGTGGAGAAAATAATTAGTTGATCACTTACTAATTTTGTAAGTCCAATTACAAAGAAATTAAAGAGTCTGTAATTCTATGGTGGTTTTTATTTTGTGAGGAAAGACAGAATATCTGCTAAACGTTCAGAGAAAAACCCATTAGATAAATGTGGCAAATTGCATGTGTACTCCAGTCACATAAAGAATCTGACTCAGGTCACTAATTTATGGACTCATCTTGATCAAAATCCCAAAAAACTCAAGACTCGACTTGGACTTTAAACACCACCGTCTCAACTCTTTACTCAGACTTCAGCTGATTTACTTGAAAAGACCTGATATCCTACAGCTGTGTGAGCAGGTGCACGGCTCTGTGCTGAGACTGCACAGCATTTCTCCCCCCACTGCACCTCTGCTCTTCCATCTCACACACTGAGATAATGTTCCACATTTTGAGCCGTTCTCAAAACATCGATGYTAAATCAAAGATGCTAAACTGGTCTTATATTCCATGAATGTGAAGAAAGAAGCAAAAGYTCCCATCCTACAGGTTATGATTAATGCTAATCTATCTTAGCTCATGTGGTATAAAGACACAGGCGTGCAGTAGTTGTAAATAAGTGATTTGTGGGKCTGAACAAAAGTGATTTTCTWKTTAATTGCAGCTTTGGTCCAAATGAAAGGAATTCTGTGTCYGTTCTCTCACAGAAACCCTATTGGAAGCTCCATGCTTAATCTGAATGTATAAAGTCAAGAAGTGTATCTAAGGTGATGAGTTTGGTTTAGTTGTTATATCAAGGTTCTACAGTGTTGGATGTTTATCCTTACCAGAAGCCCCAACCCCAAGCCTGGCTCTGGGGTGGGGCTTGTCCAGCCAAGAGAGATTGAGCTCCTTGTTTTCTTCTGTCCRTCTATCTGAGTGTTGTGAATCGCTCTTTGTCTWGCCTGYCACCTAGGACAAATCTGCCTTGACAGCTTAGCTCCAAGGATTATTCAAGCACACAAACACCTCCACTACAAAAAGCACAGATTCACAGAGGAGTAATTGATCACTCCGGAGACTCATGAAGCTAGTTTTGGACTAGACTCAAGACTTGCATGTGTTTGATTTGAAACTTCACTTGAACTTCAGCAGGAAGCCTTGAGGCTTATTTGGAAGTTCCAAAACAGTGACTTGGTTGCACCTCGGTAATCTCCAGGCAAAACAAAACTGTATTCTGTGAAAATAAAAACTTTTGTTGGCAAGCACAGCATTTCTTGTAGTTGGTCTCCAGGTACTGAATGCGCATATCTCAATAGAGATTTTGGCCCACTTCTTTTTACAAAATCTCTCTTTTTGTCT